ACAGCTACTATACTAGTGTTTGGCCAGACCACTGGGAACCATAAAACCTGTTGCCATCGAGTCGATTCTGACTTATAAGGTCACTATGAGTTGGAATCGACTTGACAGCAATGAGTTTGATTTGGATTTTTTATAGTATATAGTGTACCTTTTTATGCATAAAAAAAATTACAGAAACACTTCCAGATACACCAAAACATCTTTAACATAATAATGTAGTAATAATAATAAGAATGTTTTGATGTGTGTCACAAACTAGTGCCCATTTGTTATTACGAACCAATGTGTGTACCTCAAATTTTTAATATAATAGTCTTTATGAGGATTGGTTCATAATTATGGGTTGTATGTAAGTCAGACGTTCATAGCCCGGGACTGCCTATAATCTAATTAATGTAATGTAATCACTTTCCACGGTGCAGTCTAATATAATGTAATCAATTGATCAGTTGAGGTTAGATGTGGATCCTAATGTGAGGATTGTCCACAACCAGAGAACGCCAAGGAACCAAGAAATGCCTAGGACTAACAACAAGGAAGGAATCAACACAGACAAGACCCTGATTTGGACTTTGAGCCTCCAGAACTGTGAGAAAATAAATGCCTGTTCTTTAATGCTACCCACTTTTGGTATTGTGTCACAACAGCACTAGGTAACTGAGATAGTAACTATACTAGAAAAATGGGAAAAGAGAAAGTATGTACGAAAAAGAGTAGCATAAGAATATGAGTGGCTGTGATGTAAGAAAGCTAAATCCTCATTTTCCAAAGAAGAAAGTAAATGGATAAGGTGCAAACTGATGGAGTTCTTGCTGTGTGCTGGCTGTTGCCCTAAGCCCCTTTCCTCACCAGGGTTGTGAGTAGCATTACACGCCTACAGAAAATTATTTGAATCTCTATTTTCTCACTTCTCCCAAGGTTGTTACATGCTAGTACCATTCTAGATACAGAAAAGATAAATTAATTTATCACAATGGATACTTCAGGGTGTTAGGGTTTAATTCTCTCACAGAATTCCATTGAGAAGGTCTGCAGGGCTTTCCATGTGTTATCTTATTTAGCCTAATAACAATGCTAGGAGGTAAGAACAATTGTTATCGTTATCATCTTACAGTCAGAGGAAGAAAACAAGGCACAGACTGGTCAGGTAGATGGTCTAAGATCAAAGGACTTGAACCTGGGCAGCCTGGTGTCAAACGTTTTAACCACAGAAGCTATTAGACCTCCACAAAAATGCTATTGCCATCTACTTGGTCATCCAGGATCAAAACCCAGCATCATATCCTCCCAACCCTGACCTTCCACATCCAGCCAGAGTTCCAATGAAGGCAAATCATCTCTTACCTCCAACCTCATCTTTCCATTCTCATTGCCAAGCTGCTAGTTTAAGTCGTCATTATATCTCCCTGAACTGCCACAAAAACAGCTTAACTGCAAAGTTTACCTCCAGTTACCGCCTCTCAAAATCAAGCCTAATTCCTGAAGAATAATGTTTTTAAATACAGCCCTGATCATCCAGTTCCTCGCCTCAAGATAAATAGATAAACAGACAGACAGATAAAATTTTTTAAAATAACAACTGAACTCTAGTTTGGCATTTAGAATCTTCCAACCTTTGGCAGCTGCAGTCTAATTTTCCAAACTTACTTCCCATTACCTTTCTCTGTTCCAGATAAATTAAACACTCATCATTCCCTGAATAAGTTCTGGATTTACTCATTCTTATACCTTTGTTCACACTGTCCCATTCCTCTGTGTTATGGGTTGAATTATGTCCCCCAAAAATGCGTATCAACATCGCTAGGCCATGATTCCCGGTATTGTGTGGGAATCATTATTGGCCTCCATGTTGTGATCTAGTGTGATTTTCCTATGTGTTGTAAATTCTGATCTCTGCCTGTGGTTAATGAGGCAAGATTAGGTTATGCTAAAGAGAATTAGTGTGGGATGCAACTCCCTTCCTCAGGTCACAGCCCTGATCTAATGTAAGGGGAGTTTCCCTGGGGTGTGGCCATCATCCTTCATCTTACAAGAGACAAAAGGGGAGAGAAGTGAGCAGAGAGATGGGGACCTCCTACAACCAAGCAAGAAGAGCCATTACTGGAGCATGTTCTTTGAACCTCGGGTCCCTGCACTGAGAAGTTCCTAGACCCAGAGGAAGATCAATGGCAAGCACCTTCCCCCAGAGCAGAGAAAGAAAGCCTTCCCTGGGAGTTGGCACCCTGAATTTGGACCTCTAACCTCCTAAACTGTGAGAGAATAAGTTTCTGTTTATTAAAGCCATCCACTTGTGGTATTTCTGTTATAGCAGCACTAAATAAGTAAGTCACCCCAAAAAGCCCTTTCTGCTCAACCCACATGTCCATGATTCAAAGTCCTATCCATGCTTGATCCAACTCAATGCCATTTAATATTCAGGACAACGTGCTTAAGAGAAAAAACAAACAAACAAACATGGAGTTATAGTTTTTCCCAACACCCTGTCTCCAGCCTTCAACGTACCCAGTCTCACAACAGTGGCTTCACTACAGAGGTGTGGACTGAATCAGGTGATATTATCAAAGGGGCTGACACAAAAATGACTGTCTATAAAATTTGTGTGTAGTTTTTCAGCAGACATTTATTATTTTTTATAAAAATATCCCTGTAGTCAGTTATAACAACAAAAACATTTTTCATAATCCCAGCATACATGTATCAATATATCTACAAGGCTAAAACTCTATGCTAATTTACTTTTTGTACCTTCTAATGCACTCTGGTCGGAGAAGTCATTATTACTCAAGTACAATGATGCTTCAACTCACGTGGTTTCATCTGCACGTGCTACAAGTACATGCTGTTGTTTTCATCGCCGTGGTGTTTTTATAGTCACTGATTTTGTCAGATTTTCTGGTGTTTTAGCTACAATACTGTGCTAATTAGCATGGTGGGGGGCTGACACCATGAGTTACTGCACTGGGTGACAGCAACCCTAATGACGCCACTGTCTCACAGCAGAGAAATTAACTGCACCCTCCTCTGTGCTCCCATGTTTATTTTGCTTATGTTTCCTTATAGGAATGATCACATTCTGCCTTATGCTGTAGTTATGTTTTACTTCATTTCCCTACTAAGTTATAAGCTCCTTAAGGACACAAAACATCTTATTCGTCTTTGATTCATCTCACCAAGCATAAAATAGTTAACAGTAAATGAATTGGACATTGTGAACATTCAGAATGTCATGTGCGACACAGTTCCATGATCATGCCTCTCCTTAAAATCTAAGTTATTTGCGGCTGAGAATGCAGAAATTGTGTGCGAAAGGCTAGATAAGCATTTTTAGGCTCATAGACATCATTTGAGAATAGGGACTCTCTCAAAAACGAATCTTTTTTTTTTTTTTCTTTCTCCAGGAACAGTCATTTGAATTTATTCAGGACCTTGCCTGTATTCAAATGATACTACCTCCCTTTCTCTTTGTTCACTTGGCCACCACCATTTATGAGCTGGGTCCACCACCATCCAATATGGAACATTCCTGAGAGGCTGTTGGCCAACCTGATGTCCAGTCCATATGTATTCGCCTTTGTCTCTAGCACCAATTGCTGATTTAAAGAGTTCTGGTCAGGGAAGCTGGACTGGTTTTACTCTACCCAACTGTTACAAACCATAGAGAATTTACATAGAAAAAACTGCTTGGGGCCACTATCTTCAGCCAGAGGAGGGAGTGGGTAATGCTGGTGTCTGGGATGTGGGAGTATGGAGTGCATATAAGCTTGACAAATTCCATTCCAGTACAGAACACTTTTAAAAAATTAATTGACTTTCAAAGATCCCATCTCCCTGTAAGGAGGTCATTTAGCAGGAAGAGAAATTAACTTCTTTCTCAAATTTCTAGTTAATTCCAATCTTGAATTTCTTTTTACTTAATTTGCAGAATTTTTTTCTTTAAGGAAGGAACTAAAAAATAAATTTAAAAAATATGGGAAATAGGAAGGTGTTTCCAAAGAGGATAACACTAAACATTATATATGTAATATTGCATCTCCCATCACCGCTTCTTCTCTGGCCCTCATTGTTTCTGGAAAAGCAAGTAGTTGAAGGAACTGTCAGAAAAGCAAGTAGGTGTGATTGAAATTAGCCATATAACTGGACACCATGTAGGGATGGCTTGCCTAACGTATAATGGGAATTACCTTGTGCTCTACTAACTCCCTGGAGCCCCAGGAAAGGGACATGTGAAAGAAATTCAGAAAAGAGCAACAAAATTATTAAGGAACTGTGAGGTTGATTTATGAGGCGCATTACAAGAGCTAAGTACATGTGGCTTGGCTAAACAATGACTGAATGAAGACATGATGAATGTTTATGGGCTTACAGGGAACATAATCTCTGTGGAAAGAAGAAGGATGGAGTTGTCTTAGAGGTGATAACATGATAGTCACTTATTCTTAATGCGGGGGGGCTCATGCTTTGTATTTCAATTGACTACAGAAGTTAAGCATTAATTGTTTTAAATCTTTTATAATATACGAATAGCAATGAAAACATTTTACCTTTATAAAACCTAGGAAATTTTCTAAAGGTGTTCTGGGTAGGAGTATTGGCTGATAAGTAACAATAATATGAGTTAACAGCCTACCTGAAGAGAGAAAAGAGGGAAAGAAAGGATAGGGAGAAATGAAGGGGAAAAAGTGATCTGGCCAAAGTCTTTGCACCTTATAACCTCATGGAGCTGCCACCTTGGTTGACAACCAAACCCAGCAGCTTAGGAAGATTCTCTAGTAAGTTCTCCTCTGACTTCACCCGAGAGCACAACTGGCACATGCTTTATTTCAAACAGGAGAAGATCACCATCCTGTAATCTATCCTTTGGCCCTGTAGTGCCAGCAAAGATTAAGAGAAGGTGGATATCGGGGACAGATGGGTGGGTGGTGACTGATAGGACCAATTTAACTTCAGCTAATGCTGAGGGACGATCTGCAGATCTTCTTACTTCATCATCCTCAGAGCAGTGACAAGTTCAAAGTGAGATTTGCGGTATATCAAAAGGTCCAAGAATAGCTGGCCATATGTCCATCTGTGAAGTAGATTCTGAGATGTTCTGGTGCATATGACGTGCTTCTTCCCCTCAAGGGACTCTCAGGCAGGAGAAGGAGACAGACACAAAACAGACACACCATTATAATTCAACAACCTAGATGTAACATTGATAAGCAGGGGTACAGGCCTGCACAGAGGATGAAAATCTATTCCAGCATGGAGGATTTAAGGGAAGGCTTCCTGGAGGAAGCAAAACATGACATAGATGGTTATTATCAAGGGGCTTCACTTTCAATTTCCAATTGATTTAATGCAGAGATACTTATCCAGGGTCATTTATAGCAGGTAATAGAGTAGATATTTATTGTTTTGCCTGCCAACCTTGCTTTCATCTAAAAGAATCATTCCGTCTTTCCTAGGGAACTTCTCTACCTCCCCACTCCAACAATGTGGTGTTACCTAATTCTCATATTTAATCCATTGACAGGATTAGTTTGTTCTTCTAGAGAGTTGAAGAGCACTGGTGGTGCAGTGGTTAAGGGTTTGGCTGCTAACCAAAAGGTCAACAGTTCGAATCCTTGGAACCCCATGGGGCAGTTCTACTCTGTCCTATAGAGTTCCTATGAGTCAGATTCAATTCGATGGCAATGGGTTTGGTTCTTTATTTTTTGTTTTTTTGATTTCTAGAACTTTCCAAATTGGGCGCATTCTTTCTGTGGTGATAAGGTCATAATATAAGAGATGTGGGATCATTTAAGGATGATACTTTCCTTATATGGAAGAAGCTGGTCTGTGGTGGGAGAGACTAATGGTGACACAGAGAGAAAAGCAGTGAGGCTAGGAGGAGAGACAGAGTACAGTGGCATTTAAGGCCTTGATTCTAGTTGCCTCCGAGGCATAGTTGCACCATTCCAATTCTGTTATTAAGAGAAATACTAGAGTATTCTTCCAATAAAGTCCTCTGTTGCCAAAACTAGTGTAAGTTCAGTTTCTGTCACTTGCAACCAAGAGCCCAGAGTAGCAGCTCAGATTAGCGGTGACTTCTTAACATTTCGTCCTCGTCTTAAAGTTACATAGCTCCTCTCATGGCCACCCCTCTTCTGAGAAGAGTTAGCCCAACCTCAATGCTGCCAATTGATTCTTGTTCTGTCTCAGCCTATTCCTATTTTGAAAGCTTAGCCAATGGCCTTGCGTCTGTATTAACTAAGCTTCTAATTTGCTCTGTAACTGTTGTTGTTAGGTGCCATCAGTCAGCTCTGACTCACAACAACCTTATGTATAACAGAACAAAACATGGTCCAGCCCTGCACCATCTTCATGATGGTTGGTATGTTTGAGTCCATTGATGTGGCTATTGTGTAAATCCATCTCATCGAGCAGTCCTTTGTTTTTGTGGACCTTCTGCTTTACCAAACAGCTCCATAAGCTACGTTTCCTAAAAGCCAGTCCTCATTTGAAGGTACATTAAAATGCTGTCTAGCAAGAGCCACCACTGCAGAATCCAAATAAGTGGATCTGGGGTGGGGCCCAGGAATCCATATTATATATATACATATATATGGAGCCCTGGTGGCTCAGTGGTTAACAGCTCGGCTGCTAACCACAAGGTCAGCAGTTCAAATCCCCCAGGTGATCCTTGGAAACCCTATGTGGCATTTCTACTCCGTCCTACAGGGTCATTATGAGTCGGAATCAACTCGATGGCAACGAGTTTATATATATATACAGCCTGATTGATTCTGATGTGCAGCCAGGTGGTGGTATCACTAGTCCAGCTGACCTGTAAACAAACCCATCAACTCAAAGAGTATATAAGTGTCTTAGACAAGGGCCAAAATTAACGATTCAGTCTCTACCCAACCCCTCAGTATTGCTCAGTCCGGTTTACCTCAAAGAAAGCAGAATTATTGGAGGCTTGGAAGTACGTCATGGTAGCTACCAGCTGCTCATAGAACTACCCTGAAGGGGCCTGAGGTGACTTCATCACCCCGGGCAGACTTTGCAGGGGAAGATCTGGCCCCTTACTCAAGCTGCCTTTGATTTCCTTCATGCTGGAGACAGCTGATGGAGAGGTAATTTATTTCTTTATAAAGTCTAGAGTTATATCACAGGCGTGTATATTTTTGGCTATAAAGTGTCTTTCAAAAGCAGCTATCCTTAAAGGAGCTGGGCATAGTTACCTTGGGGGCGGCAGTGAAGTTGAAATGGGGGGGGGGTTGTGGTTTTTTTTTTAATCCTTCAAGCAATGTCACCTTTGGAGCAATAAGATTGCTCTCTCTTCTTTTAAGAGGTGACTAGCATTCGAAGGCTGCCATTTTCTGAAAGTGGGTGCCTGGTGGGAGAGGGATTTGATTGGCTGGAGGGGGAGCCAAGTAAAGCAAGCTGCTTCTTCACACCTTGGTTAATTCGCTGAGGTTTTGACGTTGGCTGAGCAGAACCCACCTACAAAACTCGCAAAGCCTCTTGGATTTTCAGACGTACTGTTTCTCGTTTGGCATTTTACAGCAGGTGTTTCAAGGCTTTTCTTTACCAAGAAGGAACGTCTGTATTCACCTCAGGCTCTTATATTTTAATTTTATTATGTTTTATGTTCATCAAACCTGTGGAATATGGGTTAAAGACTCAGTGAGGCTTGGAATGATTTGGACAAAAAGAACTTTGACATTTGGCCAATAGCATCCTCCATCCTAACACTGAGATTCTTTTCCTTTCTGTGGTTTTTCTTTTTTTTCTTTTTTCTTTTCTCCTCCTTCCCTCCATCCCTCCCTCCTAACCTCCCTCACTTCTCTCTCTTTTAATCACTCTCTGTCTCCACATTCGATGAGAGCCCTAAACGGTGACAAACTTGCAAGTGCTTCCCTTATGACTAAACACCCGGGCCTCTCGCCAACCTCCCTACAGATGGCCCAAACTCCATGCATCCCGTGAAGAGAGCCCCACGGTTCGCAGCCCTGGTGGGAACGGCCTGGGCGGAGAAGTGTGGTGGGGAGTGGCGGTGTCTTTGTCCTGGGGGAAGGCAAAGCCGCTTCCAGGAGGAAACGGGCGTTTCCTTCCCACGCGCTCGAGCGGGCCCTGGGGCTCGGCCCCGGGACTCCACCCAGCCCCTCCTAGAGCTCTGGGAAAAGTCAGTCGCCACACACAGGCACACACAGGCCCCGGCGCCGCGCCCTAAGGAGAGCGGCACCCACGGCCAATTGCCATGGCAACCCCGGGGCTAGTTCCACTTCCCCACCCATCTGATCCCCCTCCTCCCCGCGCCACAGCCAACCGGCTTGTGCGCGTCCCTGGAGCGCGGTATAAAACTTGCGCGGTGGCGCAGGCGAAGCGGCGACTCGGAACCCGGGGACCGCAGGCAGCGACACTAAGGCGTAGAAAGTCTCGTTTCAGTAAGAGCTCAGGAAAAAGCCCAAGCATGCAGAGCGAGCAGAGCCTGAGCCTCTGCCTGCAAAAGCCGCGCCTTTGCCTGGCCTTCCTGCTCCTCCATCTCCTAGGCCAGGTAAGGGCGCGCCCGCAAGGCGTCCCAGTTACTTTGCCCTCCCGGGGCGGCCCCTGTCCGGGCCCTGGCCTCGTCCGCCCTCGGCCGTCCCTGATGAGGGGTTTGTCCTTCTTGTCTCGCCCGCCTCCAGGTCGCTTTGGCTCAGCGCTGCCCTTCGCCGTGCCCGGGCCTGTGCCCCACGGCGCCGCCTTCTTGCGCCCCCGGGGTGCCCGCCGTGCTGGACGGCTGCTCCTGCTGCCTGGTGTGCGCCCGCCAGCGCGGCGAGAGCTGCTCGGAGCTGGAGCCGTGCGAGGAGAGCAGCGGCCTCTACTGCGATCGCAGCGCCGACCCTCACGCCCAGACTGGGATCTGCATGGGTAATCCAGCCCCCTCGACGCTTGAACTCTTCTCCTGGGCCAGCTGGAGCTGCCCCTCTTGCCTCTCCTCTTTCTCCCCCTTCCCAGAGGGTGATGAGCAATAATGCTAATGATGATGATGATGATGATGATAACGCAATAGGTGATGTTTATGGAGCCAGGCATGGTTTGGGGTCGCCTAGGGCTTTGGGGAGTGCCAGAAGCCAGAGAGGAAACCTGCCCAAGGAGGTGAGAAGCATTCATCACTTGCCTCCCTAGGGAAGAATCTAGATAGATGGGGAGGGAAGTCGGGTTAAAGGCCAGTGAAGTCATTTCCTTTGGACATTTCCAGGGACACACTTGGGGGTGATGGAAGTGTGAGCTTACTCACACCCTCACAGTTCACAACTGCGGTCCAGCAGGTTTGTTTTCATACCTGTAATTGTCCTTTTTGAGCCAAAGCAGCCCCTAGTCTCCTGGGATGACTATGCAACCCTTGTCCAGATGGCAGTGAGTAAAATAAAATGCAGACAACTAGCTAACCCAGGTTCATGAAATTTAGTCAGTTCGGGGTCAATTTTCCACCTGGTTTACCATTTGTAGTATGAGACTGTCCCTACCTCTCTGCATTCAGGGCTTGAAAAAGCCTTTTACTTTGTAATTTAAGCCAGTGATGATTTTCTCTGCTTGAATGCCAAGGAATCCCCATGCTCTTCCCAATTTGACCAGTTAACCTATTTGGAGAATATGAAGTGCATTTTGTTTTTTCCTGTTTAATTCTAAACTTCTGGAGTAGGAGTATCTAAAAAGGTTCTTGCAAAATGACTTTATTACTGGAAGTAAAACTGTATCATTTCTCTGCATCACCTGTAAAATGAAAACCTGGACAGGATGGTCTTGAAAGTTTCTTCTTGCTCCAAAGGACCTTCATGAATACATCTCCCTACTGGAGATGGATAAGAAACCAGATCACCGCAACTAGAAAAGAACGACTCAGGGTCTGAACATTTCTGCCAGATCTTACCTAGCCTCTCCAGTACATCATGTCCTGTTTTCCTCTCTCACCTGCTTCCCTAATATTCTAGTGCTAGAAGGAGACAACTGTGTGTTTGACGGGGTCATTTACCGCAGTGGAGAGACCTTCCAGCCGAGCTGCAAATACCAGTGCACCTGCAGAGACGGGCAGATCGGCTGTGTGCCCCGCTGCAATCACGACCTACTCTTGCCCCGGCCTGACTGCCCAGCTCCAAGAAAAGTTGAGGTGCCCGGGGAGTGCTGTGAAAAGTGGATCTGCGACCCCGATGATGAAGGGGGATTGGGAGGCCTTGCCCTACCAGGTGAGAAGCTCTGGTACCTGGGGGTGGTCACAACACAGGCCTTTCTGCCTGCAGGGTAAATGCAGCCGGGAAGCAGGAGCGTCCTTTTGGATTTGAGATGAGAAAATTAGCCTTAGTTTCTGGCCGTTCAGTTGTGGATTCCAGATTGCCCACTGAGAACAAATTCATCATGTCTTTAAATCCAAGCTAAGTTACTGAAGTACACACACAAGTTTTTCTAAAGCTTTTGTTGATAGTTGTCATCCAGTCAGCTTGGACTCGTGGCAACCTTATGGATAACAGAATGAAACATTGCTCGGTTCTATGCCATCTTCCTGAACGTTGGTATGTTTGAGTCCATTGTTTTGGCTATTTCTTCTAAAAAGAACCTGCCTGATTGAGAATGAGACTGAATTTGTCTTATTGAATGGCCACTAGTTGTTTTTTAAGTCAATCCGACTTGACTCTTACCAATGTTTCAAAGATAAAAATAAAAATCGCTCTATATTTTCTGGATTACATATATTGCCTATGTCCTCTCAAAACTAGCCCCCTGAAGAATGTTCCTCATCCCTGGACAGGTATCACAGAGAGATGTCACTTTTCCAGATGCTGCAGGAAGGGTCAAGTGTTTTGTTTTTCTTTTTGTTTTATCTTATAAAGGATATTAAAAAAACATCCTTACAAGTTGATCTATCAGTTAGAAGCCATTGATCAGCCGGATCATTTATATTGTCAGTATGCTGAGTTTAGTCCCCAGGTGGTGCAAACTGTTAAACACTCAGCTACTAACCAAAAGGTTGGCAGTTAGAATCCACTCAGCGGTGCCTCAGAAGAAAGGCCTGGAGATCTACTTCTGAAAGATCACAGCCACTGAAAACCCTGTGGAGCACAGTTCTACTCTGACTCAATGGGGTCACCACGAGTCAACATTGACTCCATGGCAACTGGTTTCTGTTTGTTTGGTTTGGGTTTTGGTTATGTGAGTTTTATAGAATGACTGCCACCAGAAATTATCAGCCAGGCCTTACAAAGAGGGAAAACTACCATGTAGACAAGATGTGTCCCAAACCATTCATCTTAAGTGTTAAGACAGAACTTTTTGTAATTGAAGTCCATGTCTCTGTATCCTGTGGCTGAAACAATCACTTCTGTCTCCCAAAAGCAAAGTACAGCTTTCATCACTATTTTGAACAGGCTAGTTCTACTTACTCATCACTATTAAAATTTTATCATAACCTTTATTTAATGTATAAAAGCACGTGTTGAAAACACCATAGTTTTAAGGCTAGTTTTTGATGTTATGGTGTCCTCTATTCTTAAAACCACTAAGCTTCTTAAAGACAGGTTCTTCTAAGCATCTTAATGATATATTGGACAGTCATTGCACAAAGACTTCTTGAAGGCCTACAGTGTGTCAGGATTGTGCCACCTGTTGGTATTGTTATTAATTGCTATCAAATCAGCTTGCACTCCTGGTGACCCCATATACAACAGAACAAAATGTTGCCCAGTCTTGCGCCATCTCATGATCAATTGTATGCTCAAGTCCATTGTTGCAGCCACTGTGTATTTTGAGTGCCTTCCAACCTAGAGGGATCATCTTCCAGCGCTATATTAGATAATATGCTGTTGGGATTCATAAGTTGTCCTTGGCTAATTTTCAGAAGTAGATCACCAGGTCTTTCTTCCCAGTCTGCCCTAGTCCTGAAGCTCTTCTGAAACCTGTCCACCATGAATGACACTGCTGGTATTTGAAATACTGGAGGCATAGCTTCCAGCATTATAGTAATACTCAAACCACCACAGTAGGGCAAACCAACAGATGGGTGATGGCTACTTATTAGCCACTGAAACCTGTTGCCATCGAGTTGATTCCAACTTATAGCGACCCTCTAGGACAGAGTAGAACTGCCCCATGAAGTTTCCAAGGAGTGGCTGGTGGATTCGAACTGCCAAACTTTTGGTTAACAGACGAGCCCGTAACCACTGCGTCACAGGGCTACCTGTTAGGGGTTAGTAAATAAAGATTCTAGATCTGTCCCCTGGGAGTACCAGGTTAGTGGGTACAGAATTGGATGAGAACCTCTTTCTACCAATGATTGAAAGGATCACTTTGTGATTCTCATGTTTTATTCTTTGTTTATACGTCCCATAGCCTACAGACCAGAAGCTACCCTAGGAGTTGAAGTCTCTGACTCGAGTATCAACTGCATTGAACAGACCACAGAATGGAGTGCTTGTTCCAGGAGCTGCGGCATGGGCTTTTCCACTCGCGTCACCAACAGGAATCGGCACTGTGAGATGGTGAAGCAGACTCAGCTCTGCCTGGTGCGGCCTTGCGAACAAGAGCCTGAGCAACCAACAGATAAGGTAAGGAGCCTGGAGAAGCCTACCATCACAGAGGGCATGGTCTTGCCTCATTGGAGCCTGGGCATCACAAAGTCACTGTGATGCTGGTTGACTCAGATGCTGTAGCTGGAAGTTCACCCCAGAGAGAAGGCAGAGAGATTTCAGATGCCAGCCTGAGCAAATTTACACATTGTTTTCTCTTTGATGCATTGAAATGCACCAGATAACTCACAGAAAGTTCATAAGTAAAAAGGAAGGGTCCATCAACTATAACACTTTGCCCAATTCTGAACTCTGGCAATCCCCATTCCATCCCAGGGGAAAATTGGCTACAGAATTACCAAGCATAAATGATTTTAGAAAGGTCAGTTCTGACCTGAGTTCCCCTTCACTCCTCAGGGCTCAATCTGTAGAAAGCAAAAGGGTCTGGACCATGTCTGTCCAATTCACCCCTCGGTCCCCAACAGCCTACCTGGTACATAGTGTGCTTGATAAATAATTGTTGATGAATAAATGAATGGGAATCTGTGAATTAGTTTCAGTATTTTAAAAAGGTCCAGTGGAAATAGCACATTTGCCAATAGAAAGCAATATGGGCCAAATTAAACAGAATGTTTCTTTCCTCGTTAGCTGGAATTATATCAATTCAGTGTGTTAACGCTGAGTATAAGGCATGCAGATCAGAAGCTCTGATTGGTTCTTGATGACGTCACACACCTTGTTACCAGAGCCCTATGTTAGATAAATGCAACACACAAATTAAACTGTTATATGCACGGTTGTACAAGCCTAAGGCCAAAATAAAACAGTCCCTAGCAATGAAGGGTTTACATAGCTCTAGACTGAGGCAACGTCATCTAATGCTTAAGGGTGCAAACTCTGGAGCCAGACAGGCTGGCTTCAAATCCTGGCTTTCCACATGGACTAGATGGGTGATCATGGGCAATTTTCTCAACATCTCAGCCTCAATTCCATCCCTGTGTAATAGGGCCATTAATAGTACCTGCCTCAAGGGTGTCATGGGGATTAAATGGAATGAATTTGCCAAGTGATGGGTATATACTAAGCACTTTGTTAACATTAGGCAGCATTACTTAAAATTTCTATTTATTAGTGAAATAAAAGGAGTCCCTAGTAGTTGTATTAGTTATATGGCTGCTTAGCTATATAGCTTTTTGAGGTCCTTCCTAACTTTATGTTTCTTCTACCAGTTTTGAGAGAGTGTTCAGAAACACCATATCCCCCAAATTATACCCTAAAGACTGTACCCCCTCACACTTAGGGGAATTATCACATCCATGTAATACAGTTCACCTGCATAAGCAATCATACACACACACACACACACACAGAGTTGTTGATGCCCTTGTGCTTTTTTGTGGTGTTGGCTGGAATATAAGTTAAACATTAAATATGAAAAGGAAGAAACAATTCCTTAAATATTTTTAACTTGTTAGTTAAATCAGGATTTTCCACCTCATGCCTCTGAAATGTGGTTTTTTCTATTGTTTCTTTTCCTGACATTTGTATTCTTGCACTCTGTTTAATATTGGGATATACTTAATGTATTTATTTGTAGTATATGGAACCTAGGGAACATATATGGATCCCAGAGAAATACTAGCAAAATAATCATTACCTCCTTGTTGCCAGGAGATTCTTATAATCTGGGACAGTGATTCTCAAAGCGTGGTCCCCAGATCAGCAGTTATCACTGAAGAACTTGTTAGAAATACAAATTCTTGGGCCCTACACCAGACCTGCTGAATCAGAAACTCTGGGTATGAGGCCCAGCAATCAGTTTTGGTTTTGTTGTTAACAAACCCTGTAGATAATTCTGATGCACGCTAAAGTTTGAGAACCACTTGATGTAAGAGAATTCGAAGTCTAATCACCCCGCAGGCTGTGGGCTGTGCCTGGGAAGATGAAGGGCAGTGGAGAATTGTGGCAAATTAGTAGATGAAGAAATACACATAGTTATTTCTTTCCTGTATTATCAATATTGGGTTTCCTCATTAACCATTATTAGTGGAATCTTGAATAAATTCTAGACTTGCTTTGCCTTCATGGAAAATAACCTTAAAGCCCACTGTCCTGGAATTTCTTACAGTCATAGTATAAAAGAAAGTTTGGGTTTTGCAGTCAAACAAATTCAAATACTGGATGTTTTCTGATCCCTTTAGACTTTTGAGCTTCTATTTCTTCATTTATAAAACTTGGGCAGTAATACCATCCTGATGTTGGGCTAAGATGACCCCCTTGTGTGCCCCCATTCATATCTCTAACCTCACACTCGCTGCCTAGTGTGATGATCTGCTTGGGTTCCCCATTTCTGTGGCTGTCTTGTCTTCTTTTATCTTCAGCACCTGATACTGGGCCTGCATGGTAATTGTGCTTGTAATAAGTGAATGTCATTAATAAGGATTCAGTGGGTTAATGTCGGAAAGTATTTGAAACATTGTAGGCTTGCAACAATGCCAGGCTTATTCCCTTTCTCTGTATAACACCTAAGAATACACTGGGCTAAAAATAACACCAAAGCATCTTAGAATAATTTAAAAAATGATTGAGTTTCCTTATCATACATATGCCTTCACCATGCTTGTCACCTCAAGGTCAAAAGAGGTTATAGCACCACTACTTAATGTGGTCACAGCAGGTATGGTGTCCACATTCAGGCAGAGAGGAAAACAGATGCAGGAAGAAAGAACTTGTTGAGAAGACAAAGGATTTCCAATTCCAAGAATCCCTTAGGTTATGTTTCACTGGCCAGAACTTTGTCATAAGGCCATCCTAAGCTCCCACGTAGTCTGGGGAAGCAAATACTTTTAACTGAGCACATTTTGCACAGTTTACATTCTGCTAGCAAAGAAGTGAGAGCAGTGAATATTGGATAGGCAGCTAGCGGGTTATTGCAATCTCCTAAAACGGTTCCTCAGAGGAATGGTAGCCATTCCATGCATTACTGCTGTTCTTCTTTCTTAGAAAGGAAAAAAGTGCCTCCGCACCAAGAAGTCGCTCAAAGCCATCCACCTACAGTTCAAGAACTGCACCAGCCTGCACACCTACAAGCCCAGGTTCTGCGGGGTCTGCAGCGATGGCCGCTGCTGCACCCCCCATAACACCAAAACCATCCAGGTGGAGTTCCAGTGCTCCCCCGGGCAAATCGTCAAGAAACCAGTGATGGTCATCGGGACCTGCGCCTGTCACACCAACTGTCCTCAGAACAAGGAGGCCTTCCTCCAGGAGCTGGAGCTCAACACCAGTAAAGGAGAGATGTAACAAGTGTCCCTGGAGAAGCCCTCCTACAGAAGCCAAGTATAGCTACTGCATGATCCACCATCCAGTGAATATAAAGAAAAGAATGAAGAGTCATTATTTCATCCCTGAGCCCTGTGTATCATATTTTCTGCAGTCATGTGAGGTCATTTATACCTGACTTTTTTTTTTTTTTTTGATCAAAGATATGATTAGCAGTAAACTTTGAATGAAGGTAAGCTCAGGATATGGCTTAGGGATGACTTACTTTTGCATGGTGTTTTCTACAAAAGCAAATGTCTATGAATTTAAGAAATCAGATATGTTTTACTTTATAGAGTATATCACATTATACTCATTTTATATTGTGTAGACTAGTGCAATTTCAAAAAAAGTCACTGTAATGAATGACACAGTGGAGTCCAAGATCATACTGAACATGTCTTCATACAAATACTTCACCAGACATTAAGGTTTGATTTGAGGGTTCTTGATTGAGATTCTTGGTTGAGATCCCATTATGGGCACCTCAACTCTGAACTTTCAAGTTCAAGATCTGAGGTGATGTATAGCTCTTCAACTTGAAATCCAGAGACTATTAATTGTGTGTTTTGTTGTACACTAGGAATTGTGTTGTATCTGCAGTAATGAAATGTTGGTTAATTAAGTGAACTGGTGTCAAAAACTGAGAAATTGACTCCTTTCCATAGAAAGAAGCTAACCAGAGAACACTCCTTGATACAAAGATGACAGGGCCCTAGAATCTGTCTGTCCTGGAGGCCGCTGAGGTTCACTTGTTCTTTAATCCAGCAGAAGCACAGTGTATCGTCAGGAATCCTCCTGTCTTACTGATGAGTAAACTGAGGTCCAAAGCCCTTAAATGAATCAAAGTCTTAACCCCTGATGACTTTCCTATGTGCTTTTAGTGGAATTTCGAATAAGAACAAAATCAGCTATTGGGGCACAACTACCACAAATTTTATGAGAGTTTAGAATCATCGTAGACATGCCCAAAACTTATTCTGGGTCTGTGTTTATGAAAACTCACAAGCAGGATATATGTATGTAGAAACATATATCTAATTTGTCAGGATATAAAATAGGCTACAAAATTACATCTGTGCATTCCTCTAATGTCATCACTAAAGTATTTATGTAAATATAAATTGTACATTTTGTAAAATATTCTTTTTAATTTCTGTACTTGTCAGATGGCACTAAATAAACATGACCTTCTCTGTGTGTGACTTAGCTATGACTTTGTGCTTAAGTTTAGCATTATTGTTTGCTGAAAGAAAAATAAACTAAGACTTTATGGATTAAATCAGATACCAATCGACAGTATCTGTTGAAAGAAAAATGGTGACCTCACAACTTCTTATCAGGAGGGAAACAAAAGGCAGCTGTAACTGAGTTAGGTGCCTCCACAGCCAAGGCCTCAAATATTCTGCACACTATTGACTCTCAAGCCGACATTCTGAGTCCTGATTATTTTCCCTGGACAGCCAGCTACCAGTTGCCGTCAAGTCGACTCCAACTCATGGTGACCCATTTGTGTCAGAGTAGAACTGTGTTTCATAGCGTTTTCAATGGCTGATTTTTCAGAAGCAGTTCGCCAGGCCTTTCTTCCAAGGCACCTCTGTTTGGACTCAAACCTCCAACTTTGTGGTTGGCAGCCGAGCATGTCAACCATTTGCACAACCCAGAGAAAGCCGGCTAGACACCTCTGTATATTGAAGATTGAACTTGCCTGACTGAGAAAAAGCTTACCTCCCTGGCTTCCCTATCTAGTTAAAGGGCTCTCCATCCTTCCAATTACCCAGTTTAAACAATCAGCATTAACTTGATCAGCCTTTTCTTGCTACATGCCCAGAAAAGCATATTTCTAGGGATGATACAGCACTGAGCAGTGCTGCCATCTGACAAGTTAGAGAATCAGAATTAATATAAATTCTCTTTCGTAGTTTTTGGCTCATTCAGTGTAAGTCTAAAGTTCTTTCAGAATTAAAAAAGAAAAGGTTTCCTGTTTCCAAAGTTACTCCTGTCTATAGCCTCCTTCTCATCAATCTCTTTAGCTAATTTCTACCTGTCCTTTAAGACAGACTGGAAAGCAAATTTGACTCCCAGGAGTTTATTCCAAGGAAACTCTTAAGGCCAGCTAACATTTTTCACGTACCTTGTGCTGAGTGCCCTACCTGCAGTATGATATTTCATTTGCACAGTAGCCCTACAAAATAGACACTCAAATCCCCATTTTACAAATGAGGGAATTTATTTTAAAAAGTTAAAAGTAACTTTAACAAATTAAAGTTCTTTTGCTTCTACTTTAAGCTACTCTATGGGTCCGTGCAAAGATTGTCTATGTACAAGGCTGTTCGATTCGATATGGTTCATAATTGCAAAATACTGGCATCATTCAAAAGTCCAACAATATAGATTTGGCTAAATAAATCACAGTACATCCACTATGATAAAAAACAAAGCAATCACTGAAATGAAAATGCAGGAGAATATTTATCAAAAAAGTATAGAACTATGGAAAGAATGATTTTTGTTCAAAAATATCTATAAATGCAAAGGAAAGGAGACCTAGGAGAGAATGTACAACAAAATATCAACGATTATCTCATCTTGGTCTCTCTTTTCTTTTCTTTTTTTTTCTTTTGGCATTTCTTTACCAATTTTTCTTTATTGACAATATACAACCTTTATAACCAGGAAGAAAATTAAATTCAGATATCCTTTCAAAAATACTTCCACTCCTACCTCTACTCACTCATGCTAAGCTAACTGCCCCTTCCAACATCCAAAACATTTAGTTAATTCATTTATTCATTTTGTTCATTCAACAGATATGTACCAACCTCTGCTGTGTGCTCAGCCTTGTTTTATGTCCTGGGAATACAACCATGAATAAAATAAACAAGGTGCCTGGTCTCCCTGGAATTTACACTCTGTTGGCAAAGGCAGGCAAAAAGCAGTAAACAAACAAGATAAATATCAGTGGTGATAAGCAAACCCTATGAAGATCATCAAAACAGCGCAATAGAGATTTTCTGGGTGGCTAATTTAACTTCAGGTGCTTCAAAGAAGTTCTTTCCAAGGAGGTGACATTTCCCTATAAGGACAGATTAGAACTACCCCATAGGGCTACCAAGGAGCAGCTGGTGAATTCCAACAGCTGACCTTTCTGGTTAGCAGCCGAACTTTTAACCACTGTACCACTGGGGCTCGGACATTTCAGCTTAAATCTGAATGTCAAAGATTAGGAGAAAGAAGCTTCCAGGCAGAGATCGTGCAAAAAAGCCAGTGTCAGGAATGCGCTTGGAGCATTGAAGATCAGTGTAGCTGGAAGGTTGTGGGTGAGGGGAGGTAGGAGGTAATGAGCTTGCCTCTGTCGTTGTACTTCTCACGCTATTTTACAACTGTTTCTGTAGACCTCCATAACACAGAGCATCTTGAGGTCAGTGTCTAAGTCTTCTTTGTGTCTTTCTATCTGCCACAGTACCTGGCAGTAGGTAGGACCTGTTGAATGAGTGAATGGACTGTGCATTGACAAAAGGTAGAATTTTCTTTGAAATAAACGTTAGGCTTTTAAACTATCCTTTTCATTACACCCTGGGAGAAATCCCCTACCCTCTGACATACACAAACACACACTCATGCATTCCTGAAATTATAATTAAAGGAGGTTGAAAAAATGTGATCTGTGGTGTAAATATTTGCAAAGTCCAGAACTTTCTGTAATTCAGTAAGGAAAACAACATTTACTGAGCAGTTTGGGGCTGGGGGAAAAGCACAGGCTTTAGGGTTGCTTGAACCTGGGCTTGAACCAGGCCTACTCTTTATCAGCTATGGCACAGCAGGCAACTTGCACACAACCTCTGAGTCTCAGTTTCCACACCTATAAAATGAGAACATAAAACAGATAGGATAATCAACTGCCCTGGTTTGCCCTGGACTAAGGAGGTCTCTGAGATGCAGGGCTTTCAATTTTAAAACTAGTACAATTGCAGGCAAACCGGGCTGAGTTAGTCACCCTAAATACCAGGCTCATAGTGTTGTCAGATGATGTGTGTTCATAAGCACTTGACTGTGCCTTGCACATAGGAGGCCCACAAATGACAGCTGTTAATATAAGTATCTAGTAGAGCCGAGCACTCCCTTATTCTACGCTTCTTGTGCTCAGAGGTAGACAGTACAGACCTTATTTTTATAAAGGAAGACAAAAAAGACTCAAAGAAGATAAGGAACTGTTAAACCAGTAAAAACCAAACAGTTGACCCCAACTCACGGTGACCCCATGTTTGTCAGAGTAGAACTGTGCTCTATAGGGTTTTCAATGGGTGATTTTTCAAAAGTAGATCACCAGGATTTTCTTACGAGGTGCCTCTGGGTGGACTCGAACCTCCGACTTTTCAGTTAGCAGCCAAGAGCGTTAACTATTTGCACCACCCAGGGACTCCTAATGACCTATTAAGGGCACAGTAAATGAAGGAACTGGGATTCAAATTCACGGTGCGCCTGAGCCCAGAGCCAAAGTTCTTTCCTTTTCACAGAGCCGCAGCCGCTGAGGTCAAGTATATTTTTAGCAACCAAAATAATTCCAGCAGTTTTCATTTTTGTGCTATTTATTCAAACGATAAATGTTCCCTTTTGGAAGCATCGTTGTAAAGTTGTGAGATTGTTGAGATCATTCCATGGGTGTGAAAATTGTTTTCTTGAAAGCACTTAATTTCGGTGTAATAAGGCACACTTCATTGAAAATTATTTGAGGATTTTTCTTTTCTTTTTCCACACAAGGATTCAATTCAATAGTAAGGCAATGACATCTTTAACTACATGAGATAATTTGTCACATAAGAGTTCCAAATATCTGCATTTGGGGAGATTATCAATAAAACTGTTGGTGGAGATTTCTGTGTAGTATTAGATTTCTCTCCCAGTACCTTTCTCATAGGTATACATTGTCATGCTTCTAAACAAGTTTCACTCCAAAGTGCCAAATATCATAAGTCAAATTA